AGTTTGTTGGTTTATTGCTGTTGAATTGAAAATCAGTTCTGAAGACACGGGACTGACACCAGGCTGTTTAACTATAAACAAAACAAATATTTGCCCCTGTTATGACGTCATCGCGCTGTAAATGGCATAAAAACACAATTTTTTTTTCAATGTTTGCTGCATTGATTCTCTCTCCCTGATCTGAGAGAAAATTAAAATATATATATATAGTTGTAAGAGTACGAACAACAGGACACAGGATATCCGTGTGTGTGTGTGTGTGTGTGTGTGTGTGTGTTTTCCTGGTGGTTCCCGGGGACAGGAAGTCCTGCCAACCCAGGAGGCAGGTCCTCTCTACGGGAAAGACATCCATAAAACTGAATGACAGGAAGTTCCCGTAGAGACAGACAGAGGGCATTTCTGTTGTTCCATCACCTCACAGTCGCGCGCGCAGGAAAGAGGAAGAGAGGATGTGGTTGGCTGTGTGTGTGTGTTTGCGGTGGTGGGTCACTGTTGCATCTTTGTTGGACTTTCCACCCTCCGCTGCTAAAACAGCAGCAGGTTGTTACTGAAACGCCGCCACGTTAGGTCGGACTGTGGTCCTCGGGTTCAACGCTTCTCCTCCGGGATGCGGCCGCTGTAACCATGGAAACGGCACGAATCTGTTCTGATTCCGACCCTAATTAGGTTTGATCTTCGGTCGTTAGCTTGTAGCTAGTGTTCGACAGTGACGTGTTCTGTTGGCGCAGAGGTGTAGTAAATAAATAAAGCTGAGGAAAAAAACAAACAAAAAAAAAAAACAAGAAGAAAATAAAGCCAGGACTGGACTGACACACACACACACACACACACACAGTCTGGTCTCCAGGTAAACACATCAGCGAGACCTGTTTGCTTTGGCAGTTCACAAACCACATCCTGTTCCATCACCATGGAGACCGTGATACGTCTGGTCACACACGTGTGCAGAACTATTTTTGTATATTGTTAAGGACTTCCTCCGCTACACAAACAACCGAAACATCGTCTGTGCCTTTAACCTGTTTCAGCCAGGACTCTCAAACTCTGGGGCAGGGACCGCCACCGCCAACTATAGAAATATATGATGTAGAAAATATATACATATATATATAAAAATTTTGTACTGTATATATGTGCATATATATGTATATATGTGTAAATATATATGCAAATATATTTATATATGTGTAAATATATATATACATATATGTACAAATACATATATGTATCTATGTGTAAATATATATACACATGTACAGTATGTATATATGCAGATATATACAGTACTAAAAAAATCGTATTTATATTAAACTAACAGTATGTGAGTAAGATATTTAAATCAATTTTAAATGTTACATTTTTTTTTCCTCCAACAACAAGCCCCCCGCCCTAATGTGACCACATGGGGGCAGCCTGTGACCTCGTGGTCAGAGGCTCAGAGATGTGTGTTGTTGACTAAACACCAAAAGTGGATATACTTCATCCTCATCTTCATCCTCTTCCCTGTGTCTGTACAGATCCCCCGTGTCTGTGTCTGTCTGTGTCTGTGTCTGTGTCTGTGCTGCGTCCTCACCATGGAGAGCTCCATCACACTCTGGCAGTTCCTGCTGCAGCTCCTGCTGGACCACAGCCACAAACACCTGATCTGCTGGACGTCCAACGACGGCGAGTTCAAGCTGCTCAAGTCGGAGGAAGTGGCCAAGCTGTGGGGTCTGCGCAAGAACAAGACCAACATGAACTACGACAAGCTGAGCAGAGCGCTACGCTACTACTACGACAAGGTGGGTAACGCACAACTAACTAATGATACCAGCATTAATACTAGTACATCAAAAGTTCTGATTCATTCACATCAGTCTGAGGTCTCACCGTGGGCTGGTCCCGCCCCTCCCTTCACGCTCTGTTTCATCTTTGTTTTTCATCGGCTCTTCGAATTTCATTTGGTTGCATTACTGCCACCTGCTGGCTCTGTCCTCTGTTGGTAAACATTTCCTTCTGTAAACCTCTGGTCCACCTTAAAAATAAATGAGTAAACATTGACAACAGATGACGAGTCCACCACGTACTTCCACTGGTCCATAACCCCACCTTTGATTCACGTCTTTCATATGTTTTGTGTTTGTACAGAATATCATCAAGAAGGTGATTGGCCAGAAGTTCGTCTACAAGTTTGTGTCGTTCCCTGACATCCTGAAGATGGACCCCGCCCTGGTGGAGTCCGGGCGCAGCAGCGAGGAAAGTGCAGCGATGATGTCAGAGCCGGATGCCGAAGACGACGACGCCGGTGTGAGGAGCGGTTACCTCCACTCCGGCCTTTACTCCTCCTTCACCGTCAGCTCCCTGCAGAGACCCTCGGAGCCACAGACGCCCACGAGGGTGGAGCCCAGGTCGGACCACCTCCACGACACCTCCACCGTGATCCGCTTCATCACGAACCGAGGCCACACCTCGCTCCCCTCCAGCCCACCTCCCACCTCAGCTGACTCCTCCCACTCCCCCAGGCTCACCATCAGGCAGCCCCTCTCCCCGCCCACGCTGCACCGCAGCCCCACCCACACAGAAGAGAGGAGGAGGCGGAGTCAGAGCACAGAGACTGAGGAGTCGGAGCAGAACGTTCAACCCTTGAACCTGTCGTCGGGTCAGAGGGAGAGGTCGCAGTCGACCCACGGCGCCACCGTCTCACCCGAGGGGAGGGGCTTGGCTGACGGTGTTCCTGTAAAAAGCAGGAAACCCAGAGATCTGGACATCACCGCCCCCTCCCTCCTCCTGACAGGAAGTGACCTCGTCTCCATCGCCCTCAACAGCCCGGCGCTTCCTTCAGGGTCTCTGACCCCGGCCTTCTTCACTGCACAGGTACAGTATCCAATACTACAATATCACTGTAGTATTAGTACTGGCATGAAATAAATCACTGCACACGTCAGGGTTTTTTTTACAGGAAAAGTATTTAGACCTCAGGAATATGTAGAAAGAACTCAAACTGAAATTACATTTTTTAATGAATTCAATTTTGTCGAATTCTGACTTTTTAATCACAGAATCCGTTCATTTTAGAATCTTGACTTATTTCAGTCTGACTTTCAGTTCAATTAAATTTGACCTTTTACTATTAAATTCTAAGACGTACGTTTCAGAGCGTTGAGATTGAAGTCAAGTCTCTAGAAAAGTCTCTTCTCAAGTCGGACTTGATGCCTGGTTCAAGTCAGACTTTTAAGTATATTTTTTTAGAATTTTTTTTTTTTTCTCCACTTCCTTCTCTGTTTTTCAACATTAATCTCAGGAAATTTGTTTGAAGTCTGAGAGGGAAAAAAAAAACTTCAGGGCTTAAATTCTGTCTTGAGGAGGAGGAGGCAGAGGGGAAGGACTGGGAAACATTCTGGAAGCAAAAGTCAGACAGAGGGAAGACAGACGGAGGTGAGAGAAAGGAAAGAGGAGGACGCAGAGGAGGGAGGAGGGAGGAAGGGGGAAGAGAGGGGGGAGAGAGCGGGGGGGTAGGGGGGGGCAGGAGGAGGTTCCTAAGTGAAGCCATATGTTCCTGAAGCTACTGATTCACTGGCAACAACACACTGACCAAACCAGGACAGTCTGACTACAGACGCAGTGTAAACACACACACACACACACTGGTTTTTGTGTCTTGTGAGCACTTCATAGCATTCCATATCTCTTCACCATAAACTACCGGCCCTAATCTTAATCCTCCGCTCTAATCTGACCCTAATTCTAATCCTATCTTAATTTTAAACCTTTGGAAAAGTAAAAAAAAAATGTCCCCACGAGTATAGCTGTACCAGAAAAAAACACACACACAGTGGTCATGTGCGTTGGTGCGTTGGTTTTAGTACTTTTTTTTTATAGCTGTACCAGAAACACACACACAGTGGTCGTGTGCGTTGGTTTTAGTACTTTTTTTTTACAGTGGATGACGATGACATCACAGCAGCTGCTGCTCTATGTTTTTCTATCTAAGTTCGAGCTGCATTCTAGTTCTCAGACCTGAACCAAGGGACTGACAGGAAGTGAGGTCACAGATTCAAATCCCTCAGTTTTCACATGTCAAGGTATAAAACAAGCTGCTCAGTGTTTCAATGTGAAAGAAGGAGGAGGAGGAAAAACTGAAAATAGGAAATCAATGTGATTGATTTCCTACCAGTGGAACTTCCTGACCTCCACCGAGTCCCTGGGCCAAGTCTGGCCGTCTGGCAGACGTTCGTTCACTAGAAGACAGACTTGGCCCCGAGCTGTGGGTGAGACCGACATGAAAACTCCACCACAGACGACACGCAGCTCCGAGGCCGCGCTGCCAGAACAAACACTGGCTGAATTTGTCCTGTGATATTTAATTTGGGGTTCTGTCTGTGCAGACTCCGTCTGGTCTGCTGCTCACTCCCAGCCCGCTCCTCTCCAACGTCCACTTCTGGTCCAGTCTGAGTCCGGTGGGATCGCTGAGTCCGGCCCAGCTTCAGAGCCACGCCCCACTCTTTCAGGTAAAACCAGAATGAAACTTATCCCCTCGGTACTTCCCCCCCAATCTCCTCCACCACGAGGAGGTGAAACAGTAAAAGCTCAGTCATTAATTCTGTTTCTGCCTCCCTCCAGTTTCCCTCCCTGTTAAGTGGACCTCTCCCAGTTCCTCTGCCCAGCGTGGACGCTCCCAGTCCTCTGCTGTTGTCCCCAACTGCCCACCAGTCCTGATGCCCACCTGGGCCACATAAGAGACCCTTCTACATAGGGAGCCCAATCAGGTGGAACATTATTGATACGAGGAAACGAAGGCGTTCGTCCTGGAGTCTCGCTCTCAGAGGAGAGCGTCTGGTTTTAGTCTGTACTACAGTAAAACTGCTCCTGGTATTTGGTGTTTGTTGTGTACCCACCACAGGAGTACTGCAGGTCCAACCCGTGGTCTCATTAACTAGTCTTATTCCCGCCCTGAGGTCAGCATTGGCAACGGGTGACGAAACGAGATCTCTGTCACCACGACAACGGCGTCAACAAAGTTTCTGTTTCGGTTTCATCAACGTTTGGTTTCAACTGACCTGACGGACGTCGACGGCCGTGGACGAACCGACACCGAGACGACGGAGAGTTCAGAAATCACTCCAGGTGTAGTAGGACCTGCAAGAGACTGAGAGGAAAAGTCACAGAGCCCCCTGGTGCCCAGGAGGGGACACTGGGGTCGTCACATGAGCTTCAGAGGTCAATTGAAAAACACAAGGACTCACAACTCACTTTAGTTTTGAAATTTAAATCTCCTGCAAAAAAAAAAGGGTTTTATTATTTAGACACTGACTTCAGGCTCTGCTGCTGGTCCTGGAAGGATTACTCTGGGGTGATATTTTAGAAGGAAAATCTTTTCATTCTTTTTTTAAAAAGCTGCACATTAAAAAATCCAAAGACACCAGTGGTAGTTTCTAAAACCATCAAATGAACTGGTATCAGACCAAAGGTTTTTTCTTCACATGCTCCGTAGACGCTGTAAAAAAAAAAAACAGAAACTCCCAGATTTAAATGCTCAGAGTTTGAGATGTTTTAGTTTTGGAGACATTCCTCTGTAAATGTCGACCGTCACACGACTCCTGGCGCAGCATCTCCTCGCCAGCGCGCTAGAATCTCTCCACCAATCCCCTCCCTTCGTTTCTCCGACAGTTTGTCAGTCCTAGGACGAACGCTGCGGACATGTTCTCGTACTGCCTCGTACCAGCGGTGCCTTCAGTGTCGTCCATCGTATTAAGCTTTAAACAGACATTCCAGGTCAAGAGTTGCACAAAAAGTGTCTTTGTAAAATGATTCCTGGTTATTATTTTTATAACGAGATGAATGAGCGTGTATCGCTTTTGATGTTTTATATAAAATGTTTGTGGGTTTTTTTTTAATAAAATACTTTGAAGAATCCCCTCTGTGTGAGACGGCCATGTTTGAACCCAGGAAGAAAAAAAAAAGGAAAGGTCAGCTCAGACAGTTTATGAAACAGATTAAATTTACTTCTGATGGTTATGAGAAATAAATAATTCCAGTAAAAAGAGTCACACACCGAGTGTCCACCGGCAGCTCAGTGTTTCTCAGAGGTCGTGTTCACAACGCAGCAGGCCTTCCATGCGTCAGGCACACACTCACTCACTCACCCACACACACACACACACACACACACACTTTGACACACACACACATGTTCAGACGTATTCACATAAAATCAGGTCATTCATCAATTTTACAACAATAATCAGAATTAAACATCGAGCCGCTGTAGAAATCTCCTTTCATGCGTTTCACCGTTGAGTTTAAAGACAAAAATCCATTAACACGAACCACAGTTTGCAGTCAATGTTGGAATAATCTGTGATGCCGACACTGGTTTATATATATATATATATTTATATATATTTTAAAAAAAATTTGTGCAAGACTTTTTTTTTTGTCAAAAGCCCGAACTCTTCAAATGTCAAAAATATTCCCGGGAGAGAAAAGTGACGCTGAAACGACCAGCCTTCAGATCATTACACATCAATACTGCAAACTGTGTCTGTTACAGCATCGACATCAGTTGTGGGCGAGTGTGTCGAGCTCCAGTTGTGCTGATGGTTCTATTCCCGTTTGTTCTGCACAGACACAGAACTCAGCGTTTGTCACGTGGGTGAATCCTCTACATCTGTGCAGACACTAAAGAAGAAGAATCCTCTCAGAGTGGGCACACACAGACGTCAATTATTTTCTGCATATATATATATATATATATATTTACATATATATATATTTAACTTCACTACTTCCCTTTGCTACAGTGTAAAAAATTGCGAACGCTGTCCTTGGTCGTCGTCGTCTTCGTACTAAGTTTGTCCTCGCGTTCTGTGATGCAACTCTGGGAAGAAAACAACCAGATGTCAAACTAGTTTTAAAGGATCGATACTAGTCCCATGACCAGGTGAGGAAAATCCACCTGAAAAATACTCCGTCCACATATATAATACTGACTATACACAACACAGTGTGTTTTTCGTGAAATCGTGATTCCGTAAAATAATGGTTGTAGCCTGAAGGAGACTGACCCAGTACATATACATATATATATACATATATACATACATATATATATATGTATCTAAATATACAATATATGCATATATAAATATATAATATATATACATATGCATATATATAAATATATATACATATATGTATAAAAGTATGCATATAAATATATTTATATACATATATATGTGTATATTTAGGATATGGGATATTTGGTTTCTCTGGGAATCGAACCCAGTGCTAGTTACTGTAACTGTTCACTAGTTACTTTTATAACGTGAGTCAATTTGTTTGGTAATGAATTCTCATAGTGATGTAACAGCTTTTTTTGGGTGGGGTTTTAATCAATTAAAAAAAACAAGTGATTAATTTTTAACATCTTTTTGAAATGACCGGCCCGACTCTGAAACGTGGTGGTCACCGTCTGGTCGTGACACTGATATCAATCCTTCAGTTTTCTTCTGTTGAGGAGCGTTTACAGACGTGTTGACGACCAGGTTCAAACTAGTCCATACTGGTTTTTAAAAATACTAAAGATAAAGTCACAGAAAAAAAAGTAAAAAAAAATTTAAAAAAGTCACCAACCACTGGTTTGAAGAAGGAATGCAAATAAGCACAGCAGGACGACAGTAACAAAGTCTACTGTACGTGACAGGAGGAGACCAGATGAACCTGGAGTCGGTAAACATGCGCCGCCAAAAAAAAGAGATGTCTCAACATGCTGCTGCTGCTGCTGCTGATGCTGCTGCTGCGTCAGTCAGTCACAGACGACAGCATTAAAAGATATTTTTTCTATTCGCTTTAAAAAAAGAAACCACTAGAGGGAGAGAGAGAGAGCGCATGTGGAATACAGCGCAGGTGGAGAACCACCATTTGGATTTTAAACAGAACCCCAGTCCCTCCACCCCCACGCAGACGACCCCCGCCCCCTCATACCCTCCAAAAACATGCCACGATGACACCGTTGTTTCACACGCAGAGGTCAAGGGTCACAAATACAGAGTACACGTCTTAATACTGTTGGGTAAACTGGGTCCACGTCCAGACCCCGGGTCCCTGATTCCAAATCCCCACATTGAAGTGCAAGTTCAACACAGAGTTCAAGTTCCTGCAGTGAGACCTTTCCAACACAGGGGGCGACAAAGTGGTATTTGCATTTAAAAAAAAAAAAATCCTGGCAGTTCTGTGGGAGTTTTTTTTTTTTTTTTTTTTTTTTTTAAACGGAAAGCTCGCTGGCTTCCTGTGGGATATCACATGATTTCCTGTCCAGCTCCAGTATTCCTCCTTTCACATCTGTGCTCTCTGGTCCCCGTCCGGAATAGATCGAAGAAAACGGGGAACACCAGAGGTTGGCCCACTCTGACTGGACTGTGTGCTTCTTTAACCTTTAGTCTTAAACCTGACGTGGTCCAAACGCCGTCCTGCTGTTCTTGGTCCTCGCTCAAACCGCACACTGAGAGCAGGACCAAAGTAAACGAAGGGGAAACGTTTTCAAAAACTCTGCAGAGTTCGCTCACGGAAGCTCCAAGGAAAACAAAACAATAGCTCCAAATATATATTCAACTGGAGCATTTGGTCTCCAATCACTGGAACAGGAACCACGACTGACATCCCAGTGTCAACGTCCACAACCGTGGAATTTTTGAACACAAACGAAAAAAAACAAGGAACTTTACTGACTGCTCACCTACACACACACACACACACACACACACAGACGCGCGCACACACACACAGTGTGTTACAGACAGTAGTAGTTTAGCAGCAAAAATATTCACACTCCACCCCCCCGAATCCCCCCACAATAAATAAATACAGTCTCTGAACACATTCAACCCAGAGTCACTCACTTACGTGTGTGTGTGTGTGTTTGTGCGTGTGTGTGTGTCAGTGGAGTTTGTCACTCAGTAAGGAGGAGGGCTCATGCGAGAGGTTGTTGGGAAGTGACGACGACAACGACGACGACGACGGGCGGCTGGACGTCTTCTCAGAACAACGGCCTCAGAACAACATGCTCTGCCTCCTGTTGATCTTTCCGTTACCTGGAACCAAAAAAAAAAAAAAAAATCAACCAACAGTCACACACTTTAACACAGCGGTGACACCTTTAAGAAGCACCAAAACCAGTGTTTGTGCAAAATTCCTCATGTTTCCTGGTTGTGTTTTAACAAACAGACTAAAATAACAGACTACAGATTATCAGGGATGTAACGATGGGTCGTGAATGGGTTAAAAATCGTTACGAATGCGTGACAATTCACATCGGTTTAAATAAAAATGTTTGTTTTTTTTCAGGAGTGGGGCGATTTAACTCAAAAAGTCACTGGTCATACCATGACACTACACACTCTAGTCCAGTAGGTGGCAGTATTCTGCTAAAAACGTTGGTTGTGACCCACTATTAAACCCAGACTAGGCTGAGAGACGTTCAGGTGTTGGAACAGAACGTGGGAAGAACTGGTTCCACAGACACCAACAGAGTTCTCCAGTGGAACTCTTTCCACTTCCTGTTTTTTCTCTTCTTCTTCTTCTTCTGTTGTTGTTTCATATGTTGACAGTTAACCAGGTCAACCAGACCAGACCAGTTTGACCAGTTTAACCAGAGCAGATCAACGGTGACTTCTGTGACATCAGTAGATTTGGTCACAGTTTGACTGGAGATCCAAAAAAAAAAATCGTGATAAAATCGTGTCGTGAGTTGAGTGCATCGTTACATCCCTACAGATTATCAATCTACGCTACATCAACCAATCACAGCGTCAACCTCAGACCTACTGTGTGAATCAGGAACTCTCAGTCATCACAGCCGCTGAAGGAAGGAAGGAAGGAATAAAAAAAAAAAGAAAACTTTTTTTTTTGTTTCCTGTCAGTGTCTCAACATGAAGGAAGTCACACAGTGTATTTACAACGACCGTCTTGGTATTTTCTGACTCAACATGACATCATTCATCCTTCAACCCATTTCTCTGACACTCAGCACCAGGACAGTGAAGAACTCACTGGACTCTGGGTACGAGGAGCTCCTGTAGCCGGGGTCTCTCTGCAGCTGCACTTCTTTCAACGTGAATATTGACACGGCTGCGATGGCAGAAAAAACAGGCGTCAGAGGACGATCGCACGCAACAGGAGAGACCTGCAGGTGTCACTGTACTCACTCTCTGGCAGCGTGTGCACTCTCATCCCCAGCTGCCTGAAGTAGGAATGTTTCATCGCTTCCTCCGCCGAAACCCTCTTCTTGGACTCATACTGGGGGGGACACAAACCAGACACATTAACCACCAGGAAAGGGTTTTGTGTGAGCCAAGTGCCCCCTGCTGGTCATTATTATTATTGCTTAATATCAACCAAAAATAAAATTCTGGAATAATAATCTACACACAGCTATTCCTATACTATATTTAAGTTAAGTAAACAGTAGTTTAATTTTTTTGGGGGGGGGGGTCTCAGGGTGTAACGGAAGTTAAAACTCACTCGGAGAAACGCCAGGAGCAGCTCGATACCATCACAGTCCAGCCTAGAGGAGAGAAAAAGAATTGCAAAATTCTGCTGTTAGCACACAGTTGAAGCTAAAGGCACTGCAGCATTCATGCTAATGCTATTGCAAAATTCTGCTGTTAGCACACAGCTGAAGCTAAAGGCGCTGCAGCGTTCCTGCTAATGCTCACACACACATGAACACACACAAACACACACTCACAGATACCTGGGAGCATGGTTGATCAGAGGCTGTGGTGTATATTTGGGAAAGTTGTAGGATTTAAACTCCTCGATGGAGGAGATTCCGGGCCAGTTGTCTTCCCGAGGAGTGCCTGAAGCAGACAGAAAAAACAAATTCATTAATATAATTTTGTGTTTCTGTATGACATTAAATCACACGGTGGTTGAAGTGGACGGCGTTGCAGCTCCTCACCCAGAAACCTGAAAATGAGGTGGAGCTCGTCCTCCACCGTGGAGCCGGGGAACAGCGGCCGACCTGCAGCCATCTCATAGAAAATACACCCAACACCCCTGAAGAAACAAACAGCTCTGAGTCAACAACATTTATTTACAATGAAAATGACAGGTTTTAAAAAAGAAAACATCTGGGTCGTGGACCACGGGTGGGAAAAAAAAAAACTGGGCGACAAAGTAAACGTATCTCACCACATGTCGATCTGCGTCGAGTACTCCGAGGACCCCAGCAGAACATCAGGAGGTCGGTACCAGAGGGTCACCACCTCGTTGGAGTAGGTTTTGGTCGGAACGGACTTTGCCCTCGCCAGACCTGCAGAATTTAACCCACAGTCAGTAACTGGCTCCCGTCCAGAAACACTGCGCTGACAAACAAACGTGAAGGAGAACAGGGATGTTCTGCAGCTCCTCTCACCAAAGTCGGCCAGTTTGAGTTCTCCTTTCTCGTTGATGAGGAGGTTCTGGGGCTTCAGGTCTCTGTGGAGAACTTTCCTCTTGTGACAGTACGACAGTCCTCGTAGGATCTGGAACAGGAAGATCTGCAGAGACGGACACTCAAATTAAAGTAATTTAAATCACCTTTTTTTCTAAAATTATTATTTGATGATAATTTTGGGATCCAGTCGTGGGCCAGATTGGACGGTTCGGTGAGCCCGGTTCGGTCCGCGGACCACCAGTTGATTTTCACCGTTGGAACAGAAACATCTTCTCCTCACCTTCACGTTGTGCATGCTCATTATGTTTCCACAGTCGTCCATGTACTGTTTCAGATCCTTGTCCTACATGAAAAGAGAGTGAAAACTGTTCAGGGATCAAAACCTTTTTGCTGTAAGGCAATCGCAACAACCGCTTCCTCCACAGGGTGGCACACAACATCTCAAAATGAAAGAGAATAAAATGTCTGTGATCTCCTGGGATCTTATTTCCATTTCCAACCAAATATATTTAAATACTGTCGGAGAGTTCCTTCATCATCGGTTCACACGTGTGGTCAACACGGAGACGTAAAAACAAAGGTCTTTACCAGATACTCAAACACCAGCGTGAGGCTCTTCTCGGTGTGAACGATGTCGTGCAGAGTCACGATGTTGGCGTGTTTGAGGTCCTTCAGTAACGACACTACAACGACACGGGAAAAACCACACGTTAAAAACTCTGCACAGGATGGATTCAACCAGTGGTTCCCAATCCCAGAGATCACGACGCGCGGCTCAGATATATATATTTTTTTTTTTATATTTTATTTGAACTCCATTTATATTCATGAAAGTGAAAGAATACAGATGTTTAGGATGAATAACTAGTTGAAAAAATATTTTTATCAGTTTTTTTAATCACTTAATAGACATTTTTAGGCGACCCCACATGGGGTCACGACCCTAAGGTTTAAAAACACTGGATTGAATTAATTAGGGTCGCGACCCCAGGGTTGAAAAACACTGGATTGAATTATTTTATTTTATTTTTTTATATTGGAATATAAGGATTGATTTTCCACGTTTTTGTTCTCACCTTCCCTGATGGCGGTGCACGGCGCTCCTTCCTCGTGTTCCAGCCTGATCTCCTTCAGCGCCACCAGGTTGTCCGTGAGTTTACTGCGTCCCTTGAACACCGTGGCATATGTTCCCTGAGCGGAACAGAATACTGATCAGACGTTTCCTTGCGGTAAAAAGTTGTAAATTTGTCAGGTGACTGTTGCAGGGCCTCACCTCTCCCAGCTTGTCCAGCTTGATGTACGTCTCCAACTTCCCAAAACCGATCTCCGACTGAGGACAGGACGGAAGGAGAGAACCAGGAGTCAACACAGATTACAGTTTTGTCCAAAAATAGAGAATACATTTACAGTACTTTGTAAATGACATCTGAGGGCCTTGAATTCTCAAGTTAAAAACCACAACATCATAGCAACACACACACACACACACACACACACACAGAAGAGGCTACAAACCCAGAGGAAACACTGACAGGATGACGAGCTCTGAGAAAAACCACAGGTGGTTTCATAGACAAATTTGTAACCAGACAAAAGAGAGATTTGGCCTTGATCTGATAACCTGATGTTAGGTAAAAATCAAGTTTTTTTTTGTCTAACATTATTATCAAAAACACACACTGACCAGCGAAGCTCGACGAGAGCGTCGACTGAGCGGCTGGTCGAAGGGCGGACTGCTGAGCTGTAACTTCTCCAGGTAGCCGTCAGGGATTCGGATGTCAGCCGGCAGTGACAGACGTTTGTTCAGGTCCTGGGAGAAACACAGAACAGACGTGGGTTCATCTGAGCCACAAACATCAGACAAACAAGAGGTCGGTGGGTGATGGTGCCATTTAGCGCCAGCAGGGGGCAGACGACACCCATGTGGAGCCCTCATGTTTTACACATTCAGGAGAATATTGATGGTTATCTAGTGATGCGGGAAACATTCCACAACATTTGGAAAACACTGGAGGTATTTTTTTTTTTTTTTGTTAATTTAATGAAGGAAGTAAAAACACTGACTACACGATGGGGGGAAAATCCAGTAGAATGAAATGTGAGTTCTTCCAACAACACCAAAGTTCTTCATTCCTGAGTCACTGAGCTGAGTGCAGTGCAGTGTTTATGATAAATACCTGCTTTTGATCAGACAAATAATATTTATAAATTAAATAAATATATAAAACCGGTCTCTTTAAATAATCACCAACAGAGA